CCCACACGAGTAAGTATGACATGTTTCCTCACGCACTAGGCGTCCCAGGTATGTTTCATCGGCGTTCTCCCGGCTGTTGACGAAGGTCGTTACTTAATCAATGATAGCTGGCGCTAATCCTATTAATTTGCCGCAACAGGACCCCCGCCAGCCGCGTAAACCAAGCTACGAAATGAGCCAGAGAGGCTCTCGTGCCACACAGACGGCCGATAAACTGAATCAGCCTAACCGTCATAACGCTAAACAAGTCAGACCACAGCTGATCGTGTAATAAACTGATACCATCCAACCCCGTGTTTCAGTGTGGAAAGTATCGGTTGTTGAACTGAACCAAACCTCGCTCTTCACGATGCCGCCTTGTGCTTACTGCTCTCTTTCCTTCGTGGAGTGCACAAGGTGAACATTTTACATGAACTGGAATTTGGTAAATGCACAAAGGTTAAGACAGTTAATCAGAACATTAAGCTCTACGTTGGAGCTGCCGAAGCCGAACAAGCCGTTAAATTCTACCGTCATTGAAGTAAAATGAATGAATACCTAAATTTCTCTGGAGAGTCTTAATGAGGCACTACATACACTACACAGTAAGCCACTTGAAACGTCACGCGCTTAACCAAATCGAATCGGGTAGAGCTAAGCTGTGAGTCCGAACGACACATCCCACTAAGGTCTATCCGCGATGGATGTTGGTCGTAAGAATGAGCGCGCCTGATTTATCACATATGTACGAAATGTAACATCGAACCGAGTAGACAAGAAAAAGTGTATTGTGCAAAAGCACTGTACAAAACGAAGTTTCAAGCTAATTTGCCCAAGAATTCTGAGCGATATGTGCATAGTGTGCTAGGTGCACAACCAAACAGACTACAAATACAATTACTTTCAGTATACATAAGATTCAGTCACCTATAGATGAAACACCAGCGGTTATAAATCGGGGTTTAATTAAAAAATCTCAACACCGGACAAATAACTTGGTAGCTACCTCTAATGTTAATATTAAACAAGTTAAGTCAACTTCGATCAACGTTTCCTTTCAATATCAAAGACATCCTGTACTCAACACTGAGGGTTCACAAACACACTGATGTCGTGGAGCAACTTCAACACAGGTGGGACCCAACCATAACCAAGTCATACAAAGGATCAGAAGCCGCTATCATGGATCGTAATGAGCATGTGAGAAAGATGATAATGGTCCTCTCCGATGCTTCATGGTTTTTGGTATGTAAACAAGAGAAAGATGGACCGAATGACACATAAATGCAATTGGTCAGGTTTTGAAAGTCATCAGGCACTTAGGTAACAGAATCAAATAATATCTCTAAAATCGGGTGGACAACCAGAAAAGTAGCACCAATTTCAGTGCGGTAATCAGCCATTCGATCAGGCGAGTCCTTCAACCCGATAAATGAGCCGCTTTCTAGATTCTATATGGAGTACAATCTCAATAGGAAAACCGATGGATCTGTTGGCTTTCTACTGTGGAAGCAATGTACGTGTGTTGGAGGCGAACTGCGCAGGGTTTAAAGCTACTACAAGACCCCTATCTCCATCGTCTGACCACTATAAGTTAAGCTAGCTAATCAAATGAGACGTATCACCTTAAGATCCTGATGAAGAATGAACAGGAACGATTGTTTGATTTATGCCCAAAGCTTCCTTCGTTCCTTTATGTAACGTCGGGTTATCATTCACATTTCGCTAAATAGAGCCAGACGAATCAGCCAGTTGGTTAACACTGTTCAAATGATTAGTTGGGAATGTCAGAGATTTGCAGGCATTTCTAAGGCATCATATGGCCAAAAAACTCGCTTGTCGAGAACCGATTTGATATTCTAAATGGAAGAAATCTCATTTTACGACTACCCACCTGTGTCAATTTTCACACAGGCGATCTTAAAGACAAAAGCCAAAGAAGAAGCAAAACCGGGGAGGTGCTTCAACAGCGTTATGGACTTGTAAAATCGGTTCCTCTCAAGTACAGAAGTTATTCACCGAAAAATTTGTAGGAGTGATCTGTCTGTCAAGGCATGAACGGTCATCACTGAAGCCCCGAAACTATCATATAATCACTGAACGCTTCCACACAGGTAGTTTCGTATGGTATCAGTCAAATAGGGTTTATAAGTTTTGTCTCAAAAGTGTAATCCACCTAACTATTCTAGCATGAATGATCCGAATACGGAATAAGAGGACGTGCATTAAAAATATGCTGATAATGATCTTCGATTCCTGGTGGCAAAAATCAAATAGCCGTTGTACGCAGCCACTTGAACGCCGCAGGTTAAATGTCAAACCATCTTGGTCTAGTAACTAGGCACTAGAACGTCAATTGTTCAAACCCTTTTCATTCACTTGTAGTACCGGCAGCTCGGATAGGCGGTTGAAGTCTTGATTGATTTCAGACGTTTCATCACCAATCGTGGTAACATCTTCATTGCGTACTAGCAAGTAGCTTAGCAGGAAGTGTTGAACTTCGAGCAAATCCAAACAGTATCTAGGGTAATGCGTCGGTTTCAGACACACTTGCTTCCAGGCCGAAACTAACCTCTAAACTTTGCTGCAAACTGTAGAAACTTTGGAGCTGGTCGAGATCATCTGAGATAGCTGAGCAGTAAGAAATTTGCCGAAAAATATTGTAGGTCAACTACCGCGAGTAATTCACTCTAGAAAACGAAGTGATATTCGGGGAGGGACAGTTTTGGATAAAAGCGTTGGTATATGACAATTGGCTCTTCAAGTAGAGCCAACCCGCAGACGTGATTGTTCCCATAGGTATGAGTTACTAAAGCACTCGCTTTGTATTTGATTCCAGGCTCCAGGTACCTAATTAAAGCATTCCGGTATAAGTAGCATGCCAACCCGTCGCACTGAGGTTTCGTTGCCACGTGGTCATCAACAGTCCTGTGGGTGCTAGGGATACCGCGAGGTCACTCTGGACTGCGCAGGTCGAAACGCCAACCTGTGGAATCACAAAGTAGACGGCTGGACCGTGCGGCCACCGGCGGAGGATAGAATCGGCTGTGGGAAACAAGAGAATTGGGAACGAGCAACAAATGACACTTCCCTACTGCCACCCAGTTTCATGCAGTTCAATCGCTCACAGAGATAGATGTTTTCACTAAAGTGAACGGTTGGCTACATTGTGTATCGGAATGCAAACACATAAACCGGGTGCTCCAAAAAGCCACAGTACAGCTTAAACAGTCCATTAGGTACTAAGAGGGGTAGTGCGGCCTAAAGAGATATTTAAGGAAATTCCGTGCAAATATAAAGGTTGAAAGTAGAGTAATCGAGGCGAGCCGTCTGCTTCTATGATGTCTGGAAGTCGAGTAAAATCAAAAAAAGTTCTAGGCGCCTTTTCGACGTCAGCACTATCGCTGCGGATCCAATTGGCTATGGTAGTAATCAGAAATACAAATATGGAGGGCAGAATAGAAGATGCACACAACCTTCAAGCAAGTAGCAGCTCAAGTGACAAGCTTATGACTTTTTCTGAATGGATAAATAAGCTTGATCGGGGAGGTGAGAGGGTGCCACAATCCAAAAAAGTGGGAGAAAGCCCCAAATTCGAAAACTGACGACAAAACATCGCTTCCGCTGGAAGAAGAATGGCCAGTCAGGATCTTAGGAGAAAGTTAATGAATGCATCAAGCTGTCTAATATGAGTTAACTCCATGTGAGTGTTTTCCTTGCTGGTTCCTCCATAACCCCGGCCCCTGCATCTAAAGAAGTGTTTTGCCTCTTCTGGAAGTTTATGGAAAACAACACAACAGTATGGTCAATAGAGGAGAATGCTCGAAGAAAAAAACATTATACTCGAAAGCATCTTAATTCTGAAAGCATAGAAGTATGATAATTTGATTTAATGCAACATTTCACAAGTCTGCGCGGATAAGGATACGTAAATAAGCTATTTAAGACATTACTGCTACAATCAAAGATTTGTATACTCGCCAGAAACTGATCCGCGGGAAGAAAAGGAGATATTATTGGAAGTAATTTTAGAGCGCGATCTCGATTCGAACAGTGATTTAGTTTGAAGCGAACCGCAGTCAGTTCGCTTTCTGCGACTGTATCAGAAGCAGATAATTGTTTGGGGGTAGCGCCTAACATTCATAACGTCATTACATTTCGAAGAGTTAAGACTGGAGGACCTGGATGGTGACCAGCACAACAGTATTTTAACCCACGTTGATGCAACGGAGACGCCTCAGAAAAACGTTGCCGGTATAGTTACATCTAACAAGTGTGGATGGTGTGGAGAAACTTACAACATAACAACAAAGAAAAGGTGAGAGGATGGCTGCATGCGGAATGACATAGTTGGTACATACTATATAGAGATATTTTACCATTCGACCGGTGAAGTGACTGCAATTAGTAAAATAGCCACAAAACAGATTGCACACGGCTGATTGAAGTCAGAAAACAGATGGAACGTCGTTGGTCTCTAAAGTGAAGCAATACTGTAGACTATCCGCTACCGAATAGACAGATCAGTTGGAAGAGTTAAATACTAGTTAGGGGACAAATTGGAATCAACCACAGATTTCGGTTCAGTGCAACCCGTCAAATAAGATCTGGGCGCTGAAGTCTGGTGAGCCTCATTGCAAAACATCTTCGCGACACATACGATTCGTGATATTGAGACGTAAAGACGAAGAGCAAGAGTGGAATACACGCTGGTCGCAGTGTGGGTATCTGCGCTATGGATGAGATATGCGAATGGGAATTCACTATAAAACAGCACATCAGCAAGTAGATGGTAAATTTCACCCTGGTTAGTGGGATTAGTTGCTCCCGCATCTAAGTGAGTGAAAATTTATGTATATAAATAATCGAAAAAGCAACATAGGTGTTAGCAGATGGAAACAGCGTCTTATCATCACCACCGTTCTGAGCGACATTAAACACCAGCCATACAGATGGTTAGTATTTACAACACTCCAGTCCATAACAACACACTGAACCAAGAGACGTAGGTAGGAACTCACCATGAAACTGTTCAGTGGACGCGGGATGGCATCTGGCTTGCGCTTCTTCTGTGAACCCACAACTGTTGTATATGGATGCCCATCTTGTATGCTGGCGGATCGAGTACTTGGCCAGTTGTTCGGCAGCCGATGGTACGCAAAGAGATGATCCATCCATGCATCCAAGGAATCCGTGTAAGCGGTAGGACAGTGTTCACAGTCGACAAAGTCGGTTACCTTTCCTGAATACGGTTTGCTTTTGATCGGTTGCCTTCGGTTGCGGGTGCGTAACACAGGAGTGAAGTTTGCTCCTTCGCTAGTATTGTTCAGGGAAGCACAACTGGGTGTAACAGTAGAGCATGTATCACAGCTTTTTTGACACACATTGTTATTTCCCGAGGTATTACTTAATTCACGGATGGTGCCTCCGGTTTTAGTGGGGGTGTTTGGAGCAGAAAGACTGTACCGTGGCTGGCGAGAAAGTAAGGTTGACTTCGACATAGCTTTCGTTGTTGATTAGGTTCCGATCACAAGTTAAGGAGCGCACTCATTCGTCACGTGAACGCTCCGTAGTCAACGTAGGCCAGCCGAAAACGCACCAGCATGCGTCACCATGGCATCGCTTCAGCTCCCACGCAGCGTAGCAAGGATATCAACCCTCATGTGTGTCTGGACTCGATCGGGCCATGGTGGTCCACACGGCAGACGCCGACACTGATCATCCAGATGGTGGACCAGACTTGTGAGAGGGGAAGTCCACCCACCCACCTCCGACCGTGAGTGCCCACAACTGGAGAGCAGGGCACCGGGACGTATGCTGGCCTAAGCTGAAAACAAGCCTGTCCGATCAGAGTCGGCCTGGAACCGCATTGGTCAAGAGTGAACGCCTTGTCGCACCCCCTCACCCCCATGCCAAGCGTCGGGATACGTGATTAAACAAGTCGTGGTGGCAGATCGGTTGAACTTGGGTTTTCAGAGAGGCCATCAATGGACACGCAGAGAAACATAGTCGATTACGCGACGACCAGTTGTGTGCGATGCACCACCACGACTCCCCATTCCAGGACCAGGAAGTCCGTTGGCCCTGACGATCTTCTTCCTAACCCTGGAGGTCGGTGTAGCCAGCTCCCACCATCTGACAGAAATGGACTATCCATCACTCGCCCTTCGTTATATCACTTGCAAGAGCCGAGCCTCTTGAAACTGTTAACTAAGAAACAAGCGACTCCAATGTCACTTGAGGAATGGGTAACCAAGTCACGCCTAGACTCCGGACCCGAAAGGATACGCTGCAGCTCCAGCGACTTTCTGTTGAAGCTCATTTGAGGCGTAATTTTGCAAGATGCTGGTTATGTTGTAAGGAGCGAGAGGAACGTTATAATTTGTCCACAATATGAGACTAGAGTCATGACTACAATGCCGGTGAACCGAGTGCGCAGTAGATTGCGCAACCGAAGACACACGTCACGGAGCCCTCTTCACATCTGTTCTGATTTGCCACGCGCATACCCGTTTTACTGAGCATTCCTACGGAGCCTCCTTGTCTTCTTCAAGCAGTCCGTGGTAAATCAAGTCTACGGTTTAGTCTGGTTATTCCGAGTACGCGACTAATCTCGATACCTTGCGGGTAGGCTATTTGGCCAGAGGCTCGGGGTGGTGTCCCCTAAGTCAGCACCCTAGTTCGACCTGGGCCACTGGGTAGTATCTCGCCCTCTGACGAAACCATGGATTTCTCTGTGTTTTCATTTTATAACAGCTGTATCTACGTTTCATTTCCGTGGTTTTTTCTGGCTCTTTGTCTATTCGTAGATTGATACCAATATATAGAATATGAAGTCGAGATCTGGCTGAGGGTTTCAGGTGCAGCAAACAGAATATTTATCAACACTCAAGACTATCAGTTAACACCTACTCCCGATCAAAATCGACCTTGATGTGGTCCATGGAACCACATAGCCACCAGGGGATTCCTGTGGCACTGTTTGCTAACCTGCTTTTTTCTTGTTTGCTGGCCTCCGGTATATTCTTCCCATTTGACTTCATTGTGCGCATGTATTCACGGAGCACGAAAGTGATCACACGCTTTGACCCTGGGTTTCGACTGATGGCGAAAAGTTTGCAATTGGACTTAACTTGCTTTCCAGCTGTCTTGAACACATTCCAAAGCGTGGCACACCACCGAGTGCCGATCGGCATATTAGACAATGCACCGTCGGCATCCTGTCTTCTTGCACATTGTAGGGAACTGAAAGAGGCAAGGTGGTGGTTTGAGTTTGTTATCTTCCGACCATGTGGCTAGTCCAATACTAAACACATTCTTGTTGGAAAGACACTTGTGCTAGTGGGTGTGTTGGTGAGCTCGCGTTGATAGAACGGATCGCAAGGTGAACTGGAGAGTGTCGGCCATGGTCTAATTGATCCATAGGGCTATAGTTAAGGTTACTTGGGGCAACATTTGCTCATCTGACTAGTCATGTGACTGTAGTATTCAACTTTCGGAGCAACGATCCGGTTAGTTTATGGTGCAAGTGTGCAGCTCGCCAAATCCCTATGTATGACGCTCATGTGTTGATTGACTGCGTCTGACGTTGCTGGAACACGCTGAGAAGGATGTTCAACTAACAGAAATCGATAATGGTCATTCGGCTACGCTCTGATACCCATAGTTCTGATATCCGTCGGGTGTTGATCACCAATCAACATAGTGAAACAACCGGTGGTTTGATCCTGTCTCGTGGGTTATGAGGAAGTGAGTAACAGTGATTATGAAAGGCACATCCAGCTCAATAAGCAAATAACTAAACATCTGTACATATGTATGCATATAAACATGTGTACACAAAGCCAAAATGACTCAATGACCTTGGACGAGTAAGGACAGACTGGGAATTTTTATCGGCCACACTGTTCAGATCACTATGGTCCACTTAGCGGCTTCCTTACTGTTTGCACATATGACATGAACAACATCCATGTTCGTTCCTGACTAGTAAGCACGGGATGGAAGGAAGTCGGTCGCACGGTCGAGAGAATGGGCATAAGGGGTTAATTCTACGATTCAGTGCCGTCTTCAATGTTGACAGCCGGGTGCTTGTGCCTACTTTCAGTGCGCATCGCTTAAACATTGGTAGGGCTTCCGGTTTGCATCCCGATGTAATGTGAGCCCGAACTGGACTCGTGAATCGAAAGTCGACTAATTAGTCAAGTAGTGATGCGTGAATTCGTGTGCATGTTACAAAAGCCGTCGATACCACACATATTTGTGACTTGGTGACGCTTCCTTCTGAGGAGCACTCATGCGGAATTCTCAAACTTGAATAACCTCGTAACGGATAACAAATGTTGTAGGCTTCTCGCATTTCGTGGGTCATTTCGTGCGGCCCCGCCATCAGAAGTGACAGCACACATATGTTTCACCGTCAGTCCGAAGCTAAATGCATTCAGAATCAACACACTGATAGATTTGTTATTGTGAAGCACCCGAGCAGCCCTGTGGACATGAGGCATCTTCAAACTTGAACTGTTTACTTCCCCCACTAAGACAAGGGAGTCGACATGCCGCTATGCAGGCCTGCTGTGGTGATTCCTTTCCAAAAAGGTGGCTAAATGCGATGATGGCATGTTCCCCTACCAGATCCCCGCCGTTAGCAACGACAGAACATCAGTAATTTGTACGGCTTACTTGTTGCCATACAGTCACAATGGTTTTAGTAAGAAAAGAATAGGTGAAATCCGGCCTAAAACTTAGTCACCTACCACCAGGAGCTTAGTACATCGTAGCACTAGCAGTTCAGATATCACGCGAACTTGTTAGAAGCTCAACTAGGTGGCAAGTTTGGGGTCTATTTCGAGCGAACAGAAAATGACAAAAGTCTGCTGCTACCGTGCGCCGTGCACCGACTGTTTATCAGTAGCACCGCTTCTATTCAGTGTGCGCCGAAGTACCACTTTGTGTTCCCTTCTTGCTGGCCAGTGATGGACCCAAATAGAGCAGGTTGCCATAAGTTACAACTGGCATGCTTCCATCCAGTACTGTCAGTTGATTCTGGTCATGATGTGGTACCCTGTCGCTTTCCCATGACACTTAACGTGTGGCCTCCCAAGCGCTAGTGTCTATTGAGAACTGAGAGGTTATCAGAACCCTCGGACATACAAGCCTGCCACGATGCCCTTGCACCGAACTTTCGATTTCTTATCTTAATGATACTGAGCTTCAGTGAATAGAACCTTGGCCGCTGTACACGACGCGGGATGCTCTGCATGAGGCACAATCACTCATCACTGCACTAGAAAGAGGGATCGGTGAAACCGTTGAAATCAAAAAGAACACCCGGCTAGATCTGAGCGTAGTGCTGTTGCACAACTCGGTTCTTCAGGGACAAGCGTTTATTCGGCAAAGATAGATAAGCGGAAATTGCAGCGCGTTTAGCAAGCCAAACTCCTCGGTATGAATTGCAAGTCCAAGTCCATATCTAACGACCCCTCTGAGTCGATGAGATTCCTCCTTTGCTTCAGGTAAACAAACGGTGAAACACTCACACGAATATCGCCCAATCCGAGCCCACTAATCCAATCCGTCACGTCCGCCTCCCATTGACTGTTTGGCTCTCTCTCTGCTGGTCCATCTGCTCACTCTGATCTGATACTACCATCACATCCTCGCTTTTTCGTGTACATGCGCCTTCATATTGCTATCCAATCCGTACACTTTGTCACTGTGTCGTCTTCACTGTATCTGCGGCCGTGGTCTCCTTGCCCCAAGCCATCCGCCACTCCACTCCCAATCCACATTGCCGTCTCCGGTGCCGTCTCAAATGCACTCGATTGCTTCTGAACGTTTTCCCTCCAAAGTTTACTTCGTATGACCTAATACCGACCCTCGCAGTCACCACACCTTTCTTCCACCGCTCTTGACTATCGGCTAATGCTTGAACCCACACTTTCTCTCCCACTGTTAGCTCAAGCAGTACCCGTGCACCGCGCTCATAGTACCGTTTCGGAGTGGTCATTCGTCGTCTCAGATTGTTCTGTAATTGTTCGTGCTGTGGTGAAACTGGGCGCAAAAGTGTGGCAGATGGCGGCATCAGTGTTCTAGTCCTTCGGCTATATAGGCGCTGCGCCGGGCTCAAACAGATAATCGTTGAAGGAGTGTTGCGATTCTCCAGTAGCATGAGGTACGGGTCCTCACCAGTTGCGCTAGCCTTTGATAACAGTCACTTGGCCCGCTTCACTGCCAACTCCGCCTTTCCATGCGGTTTACTGTGACATAGGCTAGTTTGCTGATGCACGAATTCCCATTTGGTTGCGAACGCCTGGAACGCACCGCTGCTAAACTGCGGCCCAGTGTCGGAGACCAGCTCCTCCGGTATACCGTGTCGCCCGAACTCACATCTGATCTTATTGATTACTGCCTCTGTTGTCTTAGTGGTGAGTAGATCAATTTCATAGTATTCACTATAGTAATCCACTGTGAGTAAGTAATCTTTCCCGTTATCACCGAATAAATCCACCATCACTTCCTGCAACGATCCATCAAGGACATTATGCAACATCATGGTTCCTTCGTCTGCCGGATTTCGTGTAAACGGCACGCCTCAGAATTCGATACATGCTCTCTCAGTCGAACCGTCATTATTGGCCAAAAGATCAATTCTCTTGCTCGGTTAATGGTATAGTTGGTTAATGGTATAGTTAATGGTTAAGGTTACAGTTGGCACCAAGATGAGCGTGATGAACATACTTCAGAATTTCCCCGCGGAGCGATTAACAAATCAGAATACGGCTTCCCTTGAACAGTAAACCATCATAGACAGAGAGTTCATCCCGAAAATTGAAGTAAGGCGTTAGTTTCTTCGGTAGCTGCTCCATTATCTCTGCTCACGCATTTAGAATAACGTCTCGCAAAGCTGAAAGCGTTGCGTCTTCTTCTGTGTGGCACCTTATTTCCTTTAGATGCTCTTCTGTCACTGCCAGGTGCTGTACTAAGTTTACTGCTTCGACCTCTTCCGGATTATGCTCGAGTACCAGCAGATGAGCTCTTGACAGTGTATCCGCGGTGAACATCTGTGCACCAGGCGCATACACAATATCTACGTCGTACTTTTGAAGCTGGATAAGCATACGTTGAAGACGATGAGGAACGACGTCCAGCGGTTTCCTGAGTATTGACCCAAGCGGTTTGTGGTCGGTATACAACGTTGTCTTTATTCCAAAAGTCTAATCGTCGAAACATTCCATGGCATAGATTACCGCAAGCATCTCCTTCTCTATCTGCGCATAGCGCTGCTCGGTCATGGTGAGTGCTTGGCTGTGGAAATCCAAAGGTTTTCCATTCTGTAAGAGAACAACACCTATTCCTTCTTGGCTACTGTTACACTGTATCTCTATAGGTTGCGCTGGAGCGTAATACCCGAGCACAGGCGCGTTGCTGATGAGGTGCTTAATACTTTCAAATGCGGTTTCCTGTTCCTTTCCTCAACTCCACTTTACTCCTTTGTGAGTTAACTTTATGATCGGCGGCATGATATCAGGGAGTCTTGGCATAAAACGGCTCAAGTAATTCACCATACCGTTTAAGTCATGCATTCCCTTCATGTCATTAAGAGGCGGCGTCTCTCGAATTGCCTTAAGCTCTCCTGAATCTACCCTGTCCCCTTGTGTTGTTAGCAAATGCCCATGAAAAATCACCTCATCTTTCCGAAGTGCAATTTTTTCATGTTTAAGCGACATGTTCTTTTGTACACAACGCTGTAAGAAACGGTGGAGATTAGCGTCATGCTCTTCTTCTGTCGAGCCATAGATCGAAACATCGTCTGCCACGCGTTACGCCATGTAAATCGTCTACCGCTTGCACCAATCGCTTTTGAAAAAGTTCACTGAACACCTCCAAGCCAAATGGTAAACGCAGCCAACGATAACTCCCGAACGATGTTGCAAAGGTAGTAAAGAAACTGGACTCCTCCTTTAAAACTACGTGCCAGAATACCGAAGAGAAGTCTATCTTCGTGAAACACTTAGCTTTGGCCAAACGCGGCAAAATATCTTCTAAGGTAGGTAGCGAGTAATGCTCTCTACGCAAGGCCTCATTCAAAGGTTTTGGGTCAATACACACACGCAGCTCGCCCATCTTGTTCGTAACGATTTGCGACCTGACTAGCCCAGTCGATTGGCTTGTCGACTTTGGCAATCACACCCTCTCTCACTAATTTGCTCAATTCAGCGGAGAACCTGTCACGCAATGCAAATGGAACTTTCCTAGCTGGTAGCGCTGTCTGTCATATCAAAGAATCTAAGGACAAGTGAGCGGTTCCCTCAAACTTTCCCAAAGCTGGGCTAAACACAGACGGATACTGGTCAGTAATATCGGTTTCTCCATGGCAATCATGCACAAAACGATCCTGA